GGGTTTGGGGGGGTGGGGGATGAGGAGTTTGGGCGGGGAGGGGGTGGCTGGTTTGGGAAGAGCGTGTAAGGGAGGCGGGGCTGCTGCCGCGCAGGTTGACTGGGCAGAGCGAGGGGTTGGTGGTGCGCCTGTCTTGGGATGGAGGGGGTGTAATGGCGGGTGCGGCGCAAGTTGAAGCCCCGCACCCAGCGTCCCACCCTGTTATCCAGGATCCGACGCACGCACACGCACACACACACGCACGAACGCGCGCACACACACGCGCACACACACACACACACGCCTGCACACACACACACACATATGCGCACACGCCCCCCCCCCCCAGGGGTGACTGGTGTGAGCGCCACTTCCTGCAGAACAAGGCCCTGCGCAAGGCCAAGGAGGTGAGCGGTGCACAGGGACGCACACAACAACCAACCCAAGCAGCAGCCCAGCCGTCGCTCAGCATTGCTTGAGGGACATCGGAGGGCGGGGGTGCATCCCCGGGTCGGGTTCCGTGGCGCCGCCAACCCGCGCATGCGCTGTTGTTTGCCACTCCTGCAGTGCGCTTGAGACCAAAAATCAGCCCCTATCCGGCTGCGCGCCGCACCCCTCGCTGCCCACTGCCCCATCACACACCACTGACCCACCCCTTTCCTCTCACAGCCCGCGCCTCCACTCCCAACCCCCAACCCAAAAGCCCACCCCACAACGCCACCTCACCCCGCACCTGTTAAACCCACCACCCAGGTTCGCGCCCAGCTGGGTGACATCATGGCACAGCAGAAGCTCCCCACCACCTCCTGCGGCGGCGACTGGGACGCCGTGCGCAAGGCCATCTGCAGCGCCTACTTCCAGAACGCGGCGCGCTTCAAAGGCATAGGGGAATACGTCAACGCGCGCACGGGCATGCCCGCGCACCTGCACCCCAGCAGTGCGCTGTACGGGCTGGGGTACACCCCTGACTACGTGGTGTATCACGAGCTGGTGGCCACCAGCAAGGAGTACATGCAGGTGGGGGGGGG